TTAGTAAAAGGAGAACAGATGTGGGCAAGTCCTTGACAGAATAAACTCTGATTTTGAGGGGAGTTGTAAGGTGGAGAGAGAGGCTGTGAGGAGAGCTTTTCTGGCAAGTAGAGGTAATATAAAATGATGCTGACAGTGATATGACAGTGCTATTCTGTCAAAACCCCTAAATGTTTGTGTCTGGTCCAGTGTCTTCAGATGAAATGTTTAAAGTAGACATTAAACCATTGTCAGTTAATTTGATTTTAGTTGGCATTGAAGGGAAGGATCTTAGGTCTTCCAAAAGCCTGAGAAGGACCAGGTGGCAGTCAGAGAGGAGGCAGTATGTGCAGTGTCAGGAATCTGTGCACTCACAGTAACTGGTACAAACCCTGGCTGCAATAAAAGACATTAATAAACAGCCTCTGTTCTCCCCTCTTATCACAAGAGAGAAACACAATCAATTTCTGCAATGTGCTGAGCATGCTCATCTCCCATTGACTTTAACATAAATTTCAAGTGCTAATACCTCACGGAGCTGTTGCCAAAATGTACTGCAATATCTTCTTTTTCTCACACCTCTCTGGATAGACAGTTGCCTTATTAATTCAAGTTCTTTTAAAAACCTCAGATCTTGTCTCAGCTTGTGAAGCACACTAAGGCTGGAGGCAGCTGTGATGCTCATGTGGATGTTCCACAATGGCACAGCCACTTGGCAGTTGTATGATTCAAATTGTGCCCTGTATCGAGCAATGTTAATGGATGGGCCTGTGGACTCATTAGACAGCAGCCCAACACATGCCACTTCTTGTGTAAATCTGTTTCTGTTACAAGCCAGGCTTTGGGAATCTATCACTATGTGAGGAGGCAGAATTCCTCATTTGTTCTCAGCATAGTGGGCTGTGTGTGTGAGAAACCAGCTAACCAAGCTTCAAATGGAAGCCAAATGAGCCTTCCCTGCAGTTTCACAGCTGTGTCCCCAATGGCAGCTTTGAGCTGCCAGCATGGTGAACCCTCCTTCATTTCTGTGACCACGAAGAAACAGAATATTACAGAACCTGGAGTCAAAACTTGCTAGGATTAATTTTCTTTTGTCCCTAGGGAAGAGAAATGGCTAATTTTAAAGCCAGAGCAGAGTAACGTAACAGCATTTTTCAAATTAGTACTTACTGCCTAAGTAATAATGACTAGCAGTGCCTTTTCCATTTTCCCTTTCCTCTTGAAGAGATAAGGAAACCTCTGCCTTTTGTTAAAAGGGAGGTAGGAAGACACAGAATAAGTGATTATTTACCAATGTGCTGAGGTGGGGAGAATGTGTTTGTGGGGGTTGTATTTAACTTCACATTAACACTGCCCAGTAGAGCCCATACTGGTAGTCACAGGCAGGGAGGTGGCTGCTTGCCTTCACAGTTTGTGACCCATCATATCACTGGGATGCATCCAGCCCCTGGCAAACCAATTATCCCAGTCATGTTCATCAGTTTGCTCAGCCTCTCCTTAGTGGCTGTCCATAAGACAGAAATAATACAAAATTTCTAAGAGCATATCTGCTTCTAATTCTCAGACATCATTTGAAGCTCCAGTTCAGAAGATTACAAATGTCTGCATGTTTGCATACTCAGAACTTTGTGTGCTGCTTGCTTGGGGAGGGTGTGTGTACACATGTGCACACATATGCTCTTAGCTAATAATTGTAGTTCTGTTCAAACATCTGATATAATTTAGGGATAGTAATGACTTTGAAATGATGATGGTTTTATAACTCAATGAAGATGTTTTTAACTAAGGGCCTCAAGTGGGCTGCAAACAGCTGTAAAACACCCACTCTTTAACAACTGCTGCACTAAATAACAGCGTGGTCATGTATGTACTCTCCTTAATGAATGATAGAACACAGGAGCAGGCTGTAATTGTTGTTCTTTTTGTTCCTTTTCTCCTACAGACCATCCACGTTGCCATTGTTTGTGCAGGGTACAATGCCAGTCGGGATGTTGTCACACTTGTCAAGTCTGTCTTATTTCACAGGTAAAGGGACCTTTCTTTTCTTGTATATTTTATATCTGATTACAGCTAATTAAGCTCTTTTCACATTTACTCTTACTGCCAAAGAAAGTCAGATTCCCTTCCCTGGTTGCTTTTTCTTTGGAAGGAATAAAGTATGAAATTTAAGACCACCACAAATATATTCACCTGTGTGAAGATTTCTACAGGGAATTAGAGTGATCAGAGATTCACCTGCTACCTCTGTTGCATGGTGGGAATAGGGACAGTGTCTATCTGTACTGTAAAGCATCTGCACACTCCTGAATGCTGTAAAATGATGATAATAGTAGTAGCAGCATTGTATTACTTTGGCCTATTTCTGGTATCAGTTTATGGCACAGGTGTAGATGATAAATTCACACTGGTTACTTGACTATCCCAACTTTCAATTTGACATTTGTTTTTGAAGTAAACCTGTTATTATAGTCAGTATATGCTACTTCATTAAAGTCAGATTGTTTATTCTGGCTTTGGAATAGCTACTTGCAGCCCTTCAGGTTTGACAACCTGGTTTTAGCACATGGAGCACAGTTAGATTCCAAACTTGAGAGGCATAAATGTACAATGAAGACAAAATAACCAATTCCCTTAATAAACAACAGCTCTATAAAAAGAGAAATAACTTAAACTGTGTGTAGGCATATGTGTATATCCCTTGTCCAGTTTAGAAATGTCTCTCAGAGATGTTTTCTTACAATGTTAAACAAAGAGAATTAAAATAAGGAAGTGATCAGACTGTTTGATTCAAACAGGACAAATAGTCTAATAAAATATGCCTAGAGCATAAAGAGCTTACTAAGGAGGTAGTTTCAATATGATGCTTTATTTGAAAGGTGATTTGATGCCAGGGTGGATGACTCTTGTTCATGTCATGTACTAATGGCTTCTTATAGCTAACATGAGTTGAGCATTCCCATCCCTTTGTGTTTGCCTCCAGTCTTCTGCTGGAACACTCTTAACAATCACTCCCTTACAATGGTTTCAGTACACCATTTTTGGCAAGCTTCATAAAATAATAGAAATGCTCACCTTGTACAATATGGAAAAAGACTCAATAAATACTGTTTAATCTCCAAAACGTAAGAGCAACTTTCAGTATCAACACGTAGCCTTTGTGAGGCTTTTGAGAATTAGCATGTTCATGTTAGATGAGGGCTAGGAGCACAAAAACAATGCTAAAATAAACATAACAGAAGCAAAACAACAGTAAAAATCTGTATCATTCTCTGTGTAGAATTTTTTTACTTTTAAAATTCTGTTAAATTTTAAAACTCTATTTCTGATTAGAGGTTTAAATTATTCAGTGTAAACTGGCTTTATATTGCAAGGATGTGGGGAGGTTTTGTCTATTTTGCTTGTTTCCAAGGGATTTCTTGGAAAACTGCATTTTTATGGTCACATGAATTATCCTAGTGGTGAGCTTCTCCCTGTTTTTTTCTCCTAGTACTTGCATCCATTTTGAGAAGACTTTAATCTGTGTTTCCAAATGTCCTGTAAATCATAGGAACCTCACAGCTCAAAGGCTTAAACAGCCTCTTTTTTGTGTTACTTGAAGGAAATGTCCCTATTTTACATAAGCCACTCATCTGTGCAATTAGCAAATGTATGAACAAGTCTACCATATCATTATTAAATAATAATTGCTTAAAATATGAAACCAAAGCAAAGGGAATTAACATTGGTCTTTCTAAGTCTGGTAGATTCTGCCCTTGTCAAGAATGTATTTATAGTGTGCTCCTCTTAAAGGTTATTTGTCTGGCTCAGCAAAGGTGATCAAGATAAAGTTCAGTATAGCTAATGAAAATTTAGTACAGTTAGTTACATTCAGGATAACCTATCTCCCTTGTTTGCTCAATACATACTTAAAGACAAATCTAAGTTTGTTCCTGCCTCGAGTAGCTTTTTTCACTAGGCATGAAATTGTTCTCTAGAAAGGGAAGATATTCTCAAAAAAGAGACAGAGCTTCTTACAGACATTTTGTCCTTATCTTCTAGAAAACACAGGCTTCTTAAGCATCATTTGATGCTATGACTACATGGCCATGCCTCAGTATCACTTCTTACTTGTGTCTTTATCTTTGGAGTGCCAGTTGTGAAGAAGACTGGAGAACAAACAACAAAGGAACAACAAACTCAGCTGAAAATTGATTTAGAACAAAGACTCCTTGCATTGGTTGCCATGTGCAGTGTTATCTTGGAGACTAGTGTGCCCTTCAGGAAAGATGATGATGATGGTGATGATGATGGGAAAGAAGACTTCTTTTAGTTGCTAGGATCTATTTAATTCTAGGAATGAAGGATGGTGACAGGTCATGATTCTGCATTAGAAGGTGTGAGTTAGGAGATCTGGAAGTGATTGTTTGGGGTAGTGAATGCTTCATGACATCAGCAGCAAGTTCACCATCTGACTTGAGGGTCATCAGTGAAAACAGGCATGGAGAAGTCTCTTCTAACCTCTAAATGTGCACAAGGCATTTCCAATAAGCCAAGTAAAACAGGCATTTGAACGGACTATGTGTTTCCTGTGGAGACGTTTTCTTAAAAAATTTAAGATCCTAATCTCTAAAGTTAGGCTATTGGTTCTTCATTTGTAGGATCACCATATTCAATCTCAAGTAGTTTTGCAAGAACAGAACAAACATGCCTCCAAACATATTGTCAAAGAGATTTTTTTTTTTCTTGAACATCCCCTGAAAACAATGTACTGATAAAGCAGCTGGCCCCTCAAAGCCACCAGGCTTATTATCCTCAGCTGTCCTCCTGCACCTCACTTGGTGTTTCTGTGAACTCTGATTTCAGTGACTCTGTCAGGAATTCATGGACATCATGTGCTTTTATTACCAATTCCATCTAGTTTAGTAATTAAATCATGTCATAGCTGCACATTTTGATACAAAATGAGATCCCTAAAATCCCTAATGCTATAGGAAATCCCTACTTCTCTAATAGAAAAGCTCTGAGAAAAGGAGGGTGTGTCTGTCTAATCCCAGAGTGCATTAACATATTTGCTATGCCCCCAACTTGGAGCTGGAGTGCTAGATAGAGACACAAAACAGCAGGAGTGCTGGGTCATTAAGGATAAAAGCTACAGGAGTTTCTATAGATGGAGTGTGCTGTCTCTTCTCTCCTGCATGAATGTACAGCAAATCCTGCATATTGGATATTTCAGCTCTCCCTAGGTCTAAAAAAGCAAGTTTCTGATTCTAGTCATACCGTATATATCATGGGACTTAGACACGCTACTTGTTCAGACCATTTGAGAAGCTCTATCTGTCTGCAGGTTCCAGAGAGTGGGAAGAGGAGAGGAAAAGGGTAGTGTGGTTGATTCCACAAAAGAACACCACAGTTCAGAAATGTGTTTCATTCCCAGTGCTAACAGAGTTTGATTCCAGTTTTGTCTCTAGAAAACGTATGCTGCAGCCACAAAATCCCAGCAGCTTTTAACACCCAGTTTGACATAACTGACAGTCTGTTCTCAGGAGGAGACTCAGCAGAGCTGGGATAGTGCAGGGTTTGCAGCCTGATAAATATGCACTGGCAGTGCTGCACAGAGGGAGGTTTGTAGAATGAGTACTTAGTCCTAGTCTGCAACTTTCCTGCTTTCCTCTCCTGTGCATCTAGTTCTCAAGTATGACAGATTTTATAGATCCATTGCAGAGCTAAAAAAGCTGTCTCTTAGCCAGGTTAACACAGGCCAAGCTCATATCACTGTGTCCTAAGCACAACTTAACTTTAGTTTTCCAAAACCAAAACACTCAACATTAAAAACTAAATATATTGGGTCAAATGAGCAAAATGAAAGGCAAAATAGTATCCGAAAAGCACCTGAATTTCTTTTGCAGAGCTGAGGCAGTTTCCTGTGCCTGACAACTCTCCTTGTATCTTTTTCAACTACTGGTCCAAGTTACATTGGTAATTTTCTATATTTTATTCCATTTCTGAAAACTGTAAAGCTTAGAGCACCCCAGGAACAGCCCACAACGTATAGTTTCATACTGCAAAGGTCATTTATGTCTCTGCTCAGGTAAGTCTTAACTTTAGTAAGAGCTAGAATGGTTTTTAATGGGCTCTTATCTTTTCTGAGGACATGCTAAACACTTATTTTTCATTTAGGAGCAAAGACCAAAATTACACAGGTATAACACGTTGGCAGTTAGGTCAACCTGACTATCTGTGAAAAATTAATTTCTCTTATGCCAGCCAATATTGGCTTGGGGCTTTTTTTCTGATTTTTTTCACTTCCCCACAAACTAAGTTCCTCTTCTTCAGAGAAGTCACTGCACTTGCTTGTTTTTAGCAGTAAACTCCATCTATGTTACATCAGTTGTGGTGTAGTAATGGGGTTGGAGGATGTAAGGAATGTAAACAAAACCAGTCAACTAGACAAATGCTTTTTTAATATGAAGTGACCTCTTTGCTTTAAGAAGGCTGTTTCTAACCTTAAAGTTAAGCATATGTCTAAGCATTTTTAAGATCAGGATGTGAAACTGTGATCCACATCACGGTATGAATAATGAACTTTTTCACTTAGAACAAGTAGAATGAGGCAAACCAAATTAAAATCTAAATTAAATTAAAAGGATGACATGTAATTTCCAAGTAAGAGTCACAAGTCAACACTAGCTGAGAATTAAAGCTTATGTAATCTAATGGCTCTATTCCATGGAGACTACTTTGCTTTAATGGAGTTAATTTGAGAATTTAAAACCTCTGTCGCTGTTTCCAACTTTTCTAACATGTTAGTCTATTTTGTGGGAGGTTCTTCTGACAAAAACCACAAAGCATGAAGTGCTTTCTCTGAACCATGTAGATGCATCAATAATGTACACTTCTTTATGTATTTTCCAGCTGTTTTAACAATAGAGGCTTCATGGAGAAAGCAATGTTAAAAAAAATCTGCCCATGAAATCTCTTATTACTTCTTAAAGAACTTCTGTAAGTTAGCACAAAGCAAGAAAATCCATGAACTATTCAGCAAGTGC